GGCTGTTTCCCATTTGTAATCTCCTTCTTTGGCCAGATGTAACCAGCTCCATTATCAACAGGTGAGAGCCTGTTTTACTACAAACACCTTGCATCTCCCTTAGCACCTCATTGCATGACACAGCTGCTTAAGCACCACTTTTAAAGCACAAAATCAAGATCCCCTTTCAGGCTAAAAGACAAACCACGGTGCTAAGGTGAAGGGTATATACTATTCACAGGGCAGCCTCCGGCCACCCCCTTCTCAATGGCATGTACCCATTAAGGATCAGCACTTGTGGAGTCCTCCCATAGAAGGGCTGAAGCCAGAGCCTTGGGACTCCAGCTTTTTCCAAGCCTGCCCATTGCCTGCCCACTCTACTGCATCAAGGGCCTGCTGTGCAATGGGGCCCACCCACAGTACAGGTTGTGTGCTTGGGCCGCTGACCTGTTCAGGGGTGGGGAGGCAGAGAGCAGGACAAGGGCCACTGACTAGAGCTGGGCAGAAGCCACTTGCCTGGTGTTTGGCTGCTGTAGTGCTTACCACCTACAGAACTTGCCCCCTCAAAGGCAACGTCTCTCTGCCCCACCCGTCCCCTTTCTGACACATGTTGTCCAGCTGTCGCTTGGAAAAATGGCAGCGGGGACACCAGGCCTTCCTGAGTGAACCTTGTTGTGGCCCAGTCCACCTGTGAGGCCCAAGTGGGCACCACCTGTCCCAGATGAAAGCAAAATGGATCTATCCTAGAACCGTGTCTCTTTGCCAGGTGTTCCTGGCATGAGTTTGTAGAAATTAAGTAGTGGATGTACTGGTGTGACTGTCCTCCACACCCCAAGCTCCTTGTGCAAATATTAAAACTTGGCTCATGATCATGCCCAGCCCCTAGCCAAGGCCTTGTGCCTGCACAGCAGGCACACAGCAGGCACACAGCAGGCACACAGCAGGCACACAATGAGCCTGTCACAGGGCTGGGAATGCTGACAGCTCTGCCGGGAAATGGGCAGCAAGCTCCCTGTGGATTTCCACATAAGAATATTTGACACTTTACAACCAAGCCTTTTAATCTGTCCCTTTTGAAAGATACCTCCATTAAGTGTCCAGCAGAGTCCATTAGCTGATCCGCAGGGACAGAAGTTGGGGCCAGGCACCTGCTTCCCTACACTTCCTAGGCCTCCCAGCAAGTGTGTTTCGGGTCCCCTTGATGCCTCTGATAAGGAAATGAAGACATAGTCCCACTGGTCACAGCTGTGCTCATTATTCCACAAGGGCTGAGTGCAGGTATCTCAACTTTGTCCAGTCCTTCTGAGGCCACAAAGCAACCTGTTTCTGTCAACTGATCCTTATGTAAATTCACTAAAGAGGAGGGGCAGAGCTTCTGCCTTGGGTTGAACTAAGTTAGAAGCTCAGGAGGTCCTCACGCCTCTCAGGGGCTGTCCACATGTAGGAGGGGGTGGTCAATTATCCAGTGCCACTCTTGGTGCCCCTGGCTGCCACAGAAATAACAGATCAGTAAGGATGTGCTCAAGAGAAATTCCCATGTGTTGCTGGGCCATGTTTTAGCCTCTGATGCCACCTGGGGGTGTACCAAGCGGGGCACTGGAGGCTCACATGGCTCTGGAATCACCAGTGCCTACCAGGACTGTAAGGGGAACAGGCCGTAGCACCTATCAAATCCACTTTGGGGCAAGAGTAGGAATTGTGGCCAAGGGTGGGCGTGGCTCCGCATATGTGCTTGTTGCCATCGTCCACGGATGCCTTGGAATCCACCTCCCCTTGGCTCCAAGGTGCTGCCCTGCACTTGCTGCAGTCCTCATGCCCAGGAACCCAGAGATGCTGATGCTCTCCTTGGCAACGTGCTGACGCAGAAGCCAGCGGGCGGGCTGGGGGGGGGGTTGTGGCTCCTTTGCCAGGCATGGGGGCAGGGGGCACTGCCAGCCTCCAACAGAGAGAAGATGAGGGCTTGTAGTTGAGCAGGGAAGAACTCTGGAGAAGCAGTGTCTACAGCCTTGGCACCTGGCCCTGAGGTTCATTTAGCTTTTGCAAAAATTAGTATGGCCTGTTCTTGGCTGATTTGCTTTTGCCAGGGCTGCGAGGACAGTTCAGGGCATTCCAAGAGGAAAGGGCAGGCTTGTCTTAGCCTCTGTGCCAGCACTGGCCTGACTGGAGGGAGAGGCAGGCAGTGCTCACTGCCGGCACCACCCCAGGAGGACTCACGGGTGGGTACTGTCTTTCCTCAGCAGCCTGTTTGTTTTCCATCCTGATATTACTGGTGGAGCATGAAAGGTCAGAACCATTTGGAATCCAGTGAATTTCCAGCCTTACTTAAAATTCTCATCAAGAATTTCCTTTTCTGAATAATCACTTCTTCAGGGCTGCAGAAACTAGGGTGGTTGGGGTGTGCAAGCCCAGGTGCCAGCCCCCACCCTTACCCACCACTTTAGAAAATGCCCTGAAAGCCTTAGAGCCTGGTTCCTCTAGGAGGCAAGTGCAGGCCTTGCAGTGATCCCTATGGGGACAGGGCTGGGAAAAAAATGAGACATGGAAGCCCCACAGGGCCCCACCTAGTCTGTTCTCAGGAGCTTACTCATGTACAAGCAGTGACCCACCCAGTGATGAACATTCAATGGAAGAGTGCAGGTTACTGGGCTGGGGTCAGGGAATGGCCTCTCAAAGCAGCATCACGGGGATGAGTCCTGAAGGACAGAAGGATGGGGGTAGGGAAACAGGAAGGTCATGCGCTTAATGCTGAACAAAGCACTGTTATGAGAGCAAAACAAGCAATTGATGGCCAGAGCAGAGAGGACAGAGAGGCAGCAAAGTAGGTGCCTTGGGCCTGTCTTGGACAATTGTTAGGCTGTCTTCTTGTTGACCAGTTCAGAGAGCAGAGATGATAACTAAAGCCTTCCAAGAAAATCAGAGCCCAGGCTTTCTGCCTTTGGGGCCAGGCACACATTTGGATATTGTCTGAAAAAGATGGATCTAGGAGCCAAGGCTGGCACTGAAGGAACTCACCATGCCTGCCCTAGAGATGACAGATAAGGTATCCCCTGGATCCAGGCCTAAAAGGCTCCTGAGCTATTTCTTGTCAGCTCTGGGGACAGAAGTGGACAGGAGCACAGAGAGCCAACTGCCTGAGCCAGTATAACTGGTAACTGTGGTGTGGCCAGCAGACTTGCCATGACACTGACCCCTGGGCCCAGCCCAGGTACTTCACTTTGTCTCACAGCCTGGTCAACCCAACATTCTCTGCTCTCACTAATACTTCATCAAGGGAGCTTGAGCTCACTCATCTGCTGGGATGTCACCTCTACCCCGAGTCACACAGGTGCTGAAGGGGGGGCGCAGCCACAGGGGTGAGAGGGGCTAGAACCTTGAGGACAACTCATTCACACAGAGACAGCCTGAGAGTAGGGTAAACCACAGCATCTCTGGATTATCAGCCCACCCACTGGAGCCATCATAATACCTGGGCACAGTTCTGGGGAAGAACCCAGATGCATGAAGGGAAGAAGCCGTGCTTCCTGCTTCCATGGCCACCTGATGAAGAGGCCACAGACCCTCTCTCTGCTCAGAGAACATTCAAGCACTCAGCACTGGGGCCATAATCTGGAGCCTTCCATAGACTCTCTTGGGGGCCACAGGGCCAAAGTTAGAAACTTCAGGTGAACTCAAAGGATAAAGCTGCCACACGCTTTAACAAGACTGGATGAAAGAAGGAACTCCATCCTTGCCGGCAACCCACAAGGCCAGTTCTTCAAGGCTGGGCCCTTGTCTAGTGGAGGTTCCATTTCCACAAGATCCTTCCACCAGCATCTTCATCTTCCTCTAAGCTCCAGGGCACACACAGCCCCACTCATAGCTCCTTAGGGGACTTTCTGTTTGTCCCTACTACCCCATCACATCAGATGCTCAGTCTTTCCTCAGTGCTCCTGCCTAGCGTAAATCTTCTGCTGAGCGGGACAGTTTTAGGGTATCCACCACTTGTCTGCCACTCTTAGGTACCCGGGGAGGCTATAGGTGCCTTGTACACCAGGTTTACTACTTGTTTGGGCTAGAACATGCTGCTCCTTGCCAGGGGGCTGCCTCTGCTGCTCCTTTTCCAGCAACTCCCCTCTCAAGCCCTTACCAGCTTAGCACTAGGCCTAGGTCTCTCTTTGGCCAACCCCACCTCACTTCATGCCTCTAGTCCCTCTTCCCCACACAGTGGTTCACAGCCCGAGCCAAAGGCTCCAGTGAATCCTGATGTCTGCCCTAGTTAATCAACTTACTGAGTTGCCACCCTTAGAACCCCAAGGCCAGATCCTGGCACCCTGGGATTATACTTTCTTAACTACACTCTGGATTTTGAGGGTGGCTGATGTTCCTCAGACCTATGCTGTCTAGCACTGGAAGGAGCCTCACAGATTTGCCAAACTGCCAAGTGGACCAACAATACCTGGCCAGGCCTTGTCCTCTCTTGTCCTGTGGCCTTCATAGCCTGAAAGCTTCAGGTAGGGGCATGATCGATTCACTGCACTGAGGTGGGGAAGGCCTGGGAACCCAGGGCCAGTAAGCACCACAAGGGCATTTCCATCTGCAGCTGAGGGGAGAGTGGCTGTACTTGATGGTAAGCTAGGCTGCCTTCTGTGGAGCCCAGGAGTATGGTGTCACTTGGGGATGCCTCAACCGCCTGCCAAAGCACAGCCATCTAGGTCAGAATCAGGCTCCTCAGACAAGGGCAGCCACAAAGAGCTGGTCTTATAGGGGACCCATGAGGACCAACACTCTGGGACTGACGTCCTGGCAGAAGTGACCCTGAGGTCCTACTGCACCCACAACACCAGCCATGTCCCACACTGTGTTTCCTGAGCACAGCACAAGGGGTATCCGAGGCCCCTTCTCACTGGAGCCAACTGTAGGTACGGGCCATGTGCACCAGGCTTGGTCCCAGTTTTCCTGATTGTGACCTCTCCCTGCCCATGCAAGACCACCTGCTTCCCAGGACAGCAGGAATAAGCAGCGGAAACCTAGGCCTCACTCACCGTCTGGTTATCCTCGTAGAGCTTCAAGTCGTAGCCACTAAGCTCCACACAGAAGATGATGGCTGTGACACCCTCGAAGCAGTGGATCCACTTTTTGCGCTCTGACCTCTGCCCACCCACATCCACCATCTTGAAGGTGAGCTCCTTGAAGGTGAACTTATTCTCCACAATACCTGTGGTCATGTCCCGAGAGCGCAAAATATCTTCAACAGTAGGGATGTAGTCAGGTGCTGCGATGCGCTCAAGGTCATTTAAATAATAGGCTGCGTTATCCTCTAGGTGGTACTCACTGGAGCGGCCAAAGCAGGCCTGTGCCCCGGGATCGGCCCACAGCCGCCGCATGACACCCAGTAGCTCGGGTGTGATCTCACCCTTGCTCTCAGCTGGCCCCGTCAACGCAAAGAGCTGCACGGCATCATAAGCACGGTCAGGGTTGTGGAAGTCGATCTTGAGGGCAGCCAGGGCCCGGATGATGCGAGTCAGCGAGTCGATGGCGTTGTAGATGATGAGGGGCTTATACTCCTTGCAGGCCTCCAGGTTGAAGCCGCCACTGTGGATGATCTTCATTTGCTTGACAATGGTGCTCTTGCCTGAGTTGCTGGTGCCCAGCAGGAGCAGCTTGATCTCACGGCGCTGCCGCTGGCTCTCTGAGCGCAGGTGGCGGTCGATTCTCCGGGACCTCCGAGCGGCCTCTTTCTCCTCTGAGCTTTGCCGACATCCCATGGTCCGGCAGCGGCAGGCTCAGATGTAGAGCACAGGTGGGTGCCTCTCCCTCTCACCACTGAGCAGGGATGGCCTCAGTGAAGGATGCTGAAATGTGGGCCGCTGCGCCCAGCAGACAAGAGTCAGCTGTCCTGGGAGCACTTAGTGCTGGCTGTGGGGCAAGGCCATGCCGCCCTGCAGCCCCTGCCCCAGTGCCTCTTCTCTAGCTGGCATGGCGCTTCATGCAGTGGGGCGGTGGCTGCACCTTCCCCTCTAGTGACACTCCACCTCCCTTGTCAGCTGCGTGGCCTGATTTGCCGTAGTCATTCCCTGTCTTCGGTCACGGTGGGAAGCCGTTCGCTTGCGTCTGCCTAGGCTGCTGCCGTCTGGTTGCTGGTTGCTGTGGCGATGCTGCTAAGCACGGCTGGAGGGCCCTGCGCTCCCTGTGGCCCCCCTGCCTCGGGCTCCCAGCCGTGCATCCGGCCCTTCACCTGCCAAACAGAGAAGAGTGTGAGCCGCCTGCTGCTCTGGCCCCACCTCAGAATGGATGGGGAAAGGGAGCAGCTGACTGGGCCTCAGAAAACGCGGGAATAATCCATCAACTCCCTGCTCCTCTGGAGTGCTGGAGAGTTAGTATAGCAAAACAAACAGGCTGGCTGATGCCCACTTACTGCCCTGCTGGCCAGGCAGTTTAGCTGAAGCCAGGTACACAAGACAGCGGGAAGAGAAGTATGCAAGGCCTCCACCTGCCTGCCCTCATGCTAAACTCACATCTGCCAGCCCTCCCTGCCTACTGGATTTGGCTGACCTTACCCTTCCTGAGTCTCCGCATCTGGCTGGGATTTAATTATGTGACCCCACTAGGATGCATCCTGTGCTTTATTCCTTGAGCTTAGCCCCCACACTATTTTATGGTGGGGTCTTGGCTGTGGCCCTGCCTGGAGAGCTCCAGGCCCCCAACCCTAGGCCTGGAATAACTGGGCGCCTCCTAGACTCTTACCACCTCCTGCAGGAGTTAGGTCACCTTTGCTGTCACTGGGCAGAATGTACACCAAGGAGGGAGGCCAGCCTCTGTCTTCCCTTGAAGGCATTCTGTGGGGCATCTAAGTAAGCAGACGGACAGGAACCCAAGCAGGGTGGAAGCCATAGACTGGGGGACACCAAGGAGTGCCTGAGTGGACAGCAGCTTGGGCTGGGTCTTGAGGAATGGGCAGAGGTAGCTGAGGCAAGGGACAGGGGACAGGGGACAGGGGACAGCAAGACGACAGGGCTTGCACAACAGGTGCTATGGTGAAGTTTGTCCAGGAAGGCAGGAGAGACTGGACAACTCCCAAGGGCAATGGGAATCACTGAGTCCAGGCTAGGGCGGACAATACAGAGGCCTCCCCAGACTCAGGCCAAATCTTTCATTGACCCTAACTGGGCCCAGGCAGTAGGATCCAGGCTTCTTTGTGCCACTTGGTAATTGGCAGTGGAAGAGGTACACCCCAAGACAACCCCTAAAACCTGCCAAGCCTCTTCCAGCAGGGAGCATGGGTTTCTGTCTCAAATGAGAACCCAAGACAGTGCCTACCGTAAGTACACCTCTTCCCTTCCCTGGCCTGTCTCTGCCCAGCCAGCCCCCTTCTAACAACCCCTTCCTACCATGGCATCTCTGAGATGGGAAGGCCCAGAAACAGACTCTGGGAGCCAAGGGCTTCTCCCTGTCTCCACTCCTAGGCATGACCAGCACCTGAAATTCAACCTCCCCCAAACCCTCTACTTGCCCTGCTCCAGGACCCTCAGAAAATGGCACACTGTCTCTCCACTTGTCATCCACACCCCACCCCACCATGCCTATACCTCTTAAAGACTTTTCTACCTCTAGTCTCAGCAATCCTGCTCTGAACCAGGCCCTGGGTTGCCAGATATTTCTCCAGCCCAGGTTCTATTCTCTTTTTGGCTGTGGCCTCCCATCCTCTTCTGTTCCCTTTCTCCCTGGAACAAACTCTGATGTTGCCCTACTGCTCTGAGGGTATGAGTCTCATCCTCCACACGGCCCCAGGCTAGGTATCCCCTCACCTCTCTACAGCTGTGTGGCCTTGGGGGTATCACTCTATGCCTGTGAGCTTGTCCCTCACTGGTCATACGTATCTGTGAAGAGTAATACAGCCAGCACAGAGCCTGGTACTCTGTAAATGTCCCCCAGTAGCTGTTACTACCCCACTGTCTCTATCATTGTAAGCATCACCCTCTACCCACTTTTTTGCCTCCTCAGCTGGTCTCATCTCCTATCTTGCCCTCTCCTCATTGCTACCTCTACAGTAACCTTCAGCTAATGTGTGACCTGAATGACCTTGTGGGTTGATGCCATCTCCTCCCTGGACCAAAAGTGCTGGGCAAGTAGGGTTTTGCTGGCCTCACCCCCTACAAACAGAGCAGTTCCCAGTACATGGCTAGCCTTCAGCAGAAACTTTCCCACTTTTCTGCAGTTGTACCCACCAGGCAGCTATGAAGGAGTGTGCCAGCGAACACCCTTGCAGCATCTCTGCTAACAAAGCAGTGATTAAAAGGTCATTTAGCCTGCTCCCAATGAGGCCGAAATTACATCTGAGAATGGAAGCCTTGAGATGTACCATCCTCGAACCCAGCAGATGCCCCAGGAGCACTTACTTAGAGATGATGCATAAGCAATACATGTAGTATGTATGTGAACTTATGTGCACATGTGTGCATATGTTGTGTAAACAAAGGTCCAGGAGCTGCTTCCCAAACAGTAATGAGTTCCGCATTGTGGAATCTCAGGGAAGTGTTTTATTGTTTGCATTTTATCCTCTTATATTTCCTTCAATGAACTTTTGTTAGGAAAAAGCGCTTGTAAATAAATGGCATGGCATCGACAAGGCTCTGTCTCTCATCATGCCTGGGGCTTGCCCCTCTCTGACACAGACTGTTAAGAGGTCAAGGGACCCATCGCTGCTCTTTCATGCCTGCTGATAACCAACAACCCTGCAGGTGGAAAGGTATGTATAACCTTCAGCCTGCTTTGTGGGGTGTCTTTCCAGGGAGCCTTGCCAGCAGCTGCCAGGAGCACCTGGTCTCTCCCTGCCATGCCATTATTTCAGCATGTTTGCTGATACCCTTCCTCCTGAGAGGCCCAGCGTGGGGTGTCCCTTGCCATCACCATTTTTCTTAATTCAGTGTTTTAAAATCTGAAGTAGTCAGGCTTTAAATGAGTAACTCTCCTTTAGCTGGTCAGCATCAAAGGCAGAGATCACCTAGAAAACAGGTTTCTTCCAAATGAACCTCCCAAGTTATTTGCTACCAACTGAAAAGCAGGCTTCCAGCTGCCTTGAGACACTCTACAGAGACCTTATTGTTGGGACATGGTGTATTCCAGGCAAGTGACACAGGAACCCCAGAGGTGCAACTTCTGGATGCTGGGTGGAGCTGACCTCTGCCACTGTGCAGAGCGACACCTGAAAAGACTAAGGTGCTGACCACTTCCTGGCAGTACACAATGGCACCCTACCTCAGCTCCCCACCCAACACCTCTGGCTCCCTTCCCCCCAGCAATGTGGCCTGGGGAGCTCACTAGGTTTGGCACAGGCTGTTCTCTGCAGGACTTGCTCCATCACCTGACTCTCTGCAGGCAGCTCCCGTCTGTGGTGCCTTTTGCCTGGCTTCTGTACCGGAACTCTGCCTGCTCTTCACAGGTCAGCTCACACACAGCACCTCCCCTGCCAGCACGGTGCCCCTTCCGTTCTGCTGACAGCACCTCTTTGCCCCGTGCCCTCCCTTTCTGCAGTCTTTCCTGCTAGAGTAGGATTTCCTTCAAAGCATGGAGACCATGTGGTGTGGGAGAGAAGTAGACCCTTGCTGATCCTGCTCCCTGCTGATGACCAACAACCCTTCAGGGGCTCTGGTTCTATGGACTGGGCAGGTTTATGCTGGTGGCATAAGCCTCTTATAGGGTTCCATAGCCCCTCCAACCCCTAGCTCCCTCTGTTGCCCAAATAGTCTGTCCTGCTCTGCCCTGCCAGCACTCAGCACTACGTCTTAAAGAAAAGTAACTGCACCAACCCAGTCTTTAGCCCCATGTGGCAGAAAGAAAAGCTTCTCTGTCTGAGCACATGTAATTTGTGCTGCAGGAATTAGGTGCTCCACCACCCTAACTCTGAGAGATTGGGCTGCTGGGAATCAGGAGAGCAGGTTGGGGACAGTGGGCTGGCAGATTACGGCCTGAAGTGCTGCTGTATGGAAGCCCCAAGCCAAGGGCTGGGCATGTGGTCTCTGATCAGCTACAGGGCAATGGGAGAATAAAGGGAACAACTGTGGCCCGGAAGCAATTGTGTATAATAGGACCTGAATAGAGTAGTAACCAACAGTCACAATAAGGGTAGGTTCCCTGCTTGAGGCAGCTTCTTCTTTCAGATCACTAGAACCAAATAAGCTGAAGTCCCTACCCAGAATCCTCCCTGCAGCTCTGTGGGGCTTGGCCATATTTGGGGGATGTGAGTGTGGAGCAGTGCAACTGATGGGGGAGGGGACTGTGCATGCATGCAGAAAAGCCTGTAAGCAGAAGCCTGGCTCTGAGGCTTGGCTTCTTCAATTTTACACAAGACTCCTGCCAGTCCTCTCTCTGAGTCTAACCTGGAGCTTTACTGGACATTAAGGGACTCAAGTCCCAGAATAGAATCTGACGAGATTGAGCCCAGAGGCACAGGCTGAGAGTTGGGTGGGCACATTGTTCCCTGGCCCAGAAACTGCTTATGGGGTCACATCATCACCCCCAACCACAGTGCCACCAGGCATAGCTGGAAATAGCAGAGGAATAGACAAGGGAAAGAGCATGGTGGACAGAGGAGGAGCTTGTGCAAAGTCCCTGCCGTGTGTGTGGTTGTGTGTAACAGGGACAGCAGTGATGAACTGTGGTGACTACAGAATTTAAGGGAGGTCAGAATGGCTGGGCACAAAGAGGGGAGAGGTGTACAAGGTGAGAGGAAAAGGCAGGGCAGAAGAGATGCCCAATTGGAGCCTTGGTCTTCATCACAGAGAAGGAAGCTACTGAAGGGTTTCAAGCCACTTGTGCAGATCCATGCCCATGTCTACCTGTGTGTGGACCTGCCTGAATGTGTCTGTGTGCAGCTGCATGTGTATGGCTGCAGGTGTGTGTCTGCCTGCTGTTCCATGTGGTATACTGGGAGCAGAGGTGGCTATGGAGACCAGCTGTGGTGCAGTGGAGGGGTGTGGGGCGAGGGGAAGATGGGTCATAGGCTCTGTAATCTCATATTTACTTACCGAGCTGTGGTTTTGAGCTTGGAACTTGATAGAGGTGGGGCATGGCTCTACTGAATAAGGTAAACAAAGACCTAGTCTCTAAGTCTGTTCAGGTGGTGACAGCAGGAGTCAGACCACAGATGGTACACAGAATGACAGAGGTGCGGAATTTTATGATACACATGGAGCTTCAGAGAAGCTGGGTAATGGGTGGAAAGGGCAGACTGCAAGT